AATACAGAGGCATGGGGTAATTCAGTGAAACATTGACATGTTAATTGGTAAAGATGCCTAAATAAAATTTTTTTAAAAAAAATCAGCAATTTAATACTTTTTTAAAACAAAGACACAAGACCATCAGGTCTTGTGCATATAAATGAATTAAAAAGCTGCTTTATGTGTAGTAAACGATGTAAGATGTTTGTCATTAAATACAGTTCCTTGGCTTGAAAACCCCACTATAATATCTGAAATGGCTACAACAATTCCATGCTACATTTATGTGACACTGAAAAGTCATGCTGACATTACAGCTCCTTCCAACTTGTGGATTTGTTTCATTTGTGTATTTTCTTATTTTAAATACAACTTAGTTTCACTGAGACACAATTGTCTCATTTGAAAAGGGGCACTATTTTGTACAAATAAACAAACGATCAATGAAGGACATCAGTATAAAAGATACATATGAATAGAGCCATTTCAATTTTTTAAATATAAGCTACACTGATGGAAACAGCAATTGAAAGACTCTTTGAAAACAGGAGCAAGTTTTTGTGGATGTAATCTCCAGTTCTTACTTGTGGAACACTGTAGGTAATAACAGCCTGAACGTGCAAGCTCAGATGGTGATAAACTGGGACGATTCTAGAATCTGCCCCTTAGGGGTGCTTAGCCCCCAGTGTTGAATGTGGCTCTTGGATTGAACCATGCGGAGGCCATTGGCATCAGAAGCATTTGTAATGTAACATCCAAGTACTTATAACTGGAGACCACTTCCACTGCAGGGGTGTTCGCTCCTTCTGAAATCCACAATCATCTCCTTTGTCTTCTTCACATTAATGTGGAGGTTGTTCTTCCTGCACCAGCTCTCCAGGTGTTCCACCTCCTGCCTGTAGCCAGACTCATCATTGTTTGTGATGCATCCAACCACTGCTGTATCACCTGCAAACTTTACAATATGACGGTTTGGATGGGTAGGTGCACAGTCATATGTGAGCAGATTGAACAGGAGGGGACTCAACACACAGCCCTGAGGGGAGTCAGTGTTGAGGGTTATGGTGGAGGAGAAGAAGATGCAAAATCCTAATGATGGTTTATTTTATTTTAGGGGTGCTGAGTTAAAATTTAGGGGTGCTTCAGCACCCCCCAAAAGAAGCTAAAATAGCCCCTGGTGATAAATATGACAAATATGATGGAATATGATGGAACCAGACAGGTAGAAGACAATAACAGATTTGTAAATAAATGTGTACCCAATATAAAAGTATGTGGATGTGTGAAGCTGCTCATTTAACCAGAGTGTATGAAGTACAGAGATGTGGGAGAGTTTTACTGCCTGTGGTGAATCTCAAAGCTCTGTGGGAGACAGCGTCCAGTAGGCGTAAAGAGCAGGCAGAGGCATTCATTTACACAATATCTCCATAGTCTATGAGAGTCAAGCTGGTGGCAGAAACCTGCTGTTTTCAGGCACAAATCAGATGAAAAGTACCAAGCTTTTAAATTGAGCTTCTTCAGCAGAATGTTAATATGGCACTTGAAACTTAAGTATTTATTGATTGTTATTCCAGGATATTTATTTGATGTGACATGGGCAATGCATAACTACTGTGTGGTGGCAATAGTAGGAAGGGAAGATGGCACTTTTTTTCTCCACAACTTTGTAATTGCGTAGTATTTTTAGTGATTAAAGCCGTGAGCAGAAATAAATCCCACCAGTCTGCTCCAAATTACTGCTCCTCCTTGTAAAAAATATATCTTACATGAGAAAAAAAATAAAATAAAATAAAAAGGATTATTTGTGTCATTTGTCATTTTGTGTCAAACAAAGCAGGTTCACAAGCCTGATCCCTGTGACCCACTGTCTTTAATGTTTCAGATGTTTCCCTGCTTCAACACACCTGACTGAAATAAATTAATCATTAGCAGGCTTCTGCTAAACTTGATGGCATTCTGAGACGGTACCGTATTTTCTGGCGTATAAGTCACAGGTTTTTTTGCATAGATTTGTCTGTCCTGCGACTTATACGCCGAAGCAACTTATATACTTTTTTTTCCCATATTCATTACGCAATTTTTGATCGATGCTTAAAATTTCAAAGAACTGCAACAGCGTGTGCGCTTGCTTCACTCAGCTGGTGCAGATGGAGGAACACTATGCTTTTTTTTACTGATGCGACTTATACTCTGGAGCAACTTATACGCCAGAAAATACGGTAATTACATTTTTTTTATTTTTTTTTATTTTTTTTTATCAGGTGTGGCGAAGCAGGAAAACAGCTAAAACATGCAGGGCAGTGGGCCACAAGGACCAGGGTTGGGGATCTCTGAATTAAAGTAACAATCTGGAATGTGGTGTTATTAATTGGACACAGTTTTAACGAGAATATTCTGTGCTGCAGTGGTTTTAGACCTTTGTGTTTATCAGATTTACTCTGAATTATGACGGTACACTTATATTAGCTTAAATTATCTGCCTTCTAACAACCACTACACAAGACTTCAAAACATAAATATAAAATATAAATCCATAAAACATGAAATGAGAGTCAAAGATGAATGAGTCAAATCTAATCCCATAACAACATAAAACACTGTGATAACAGATGGCAGACTATAAAGTTAGGTAATTACAGGGCTTTAAAAGCAATTGGCTGATGATTAAACTGGACAGCAAAACAAATATGTAGCCAAAGCAAGTCAGCAATGACAGATTCTCTTTTCTGAATTGTATCTTTGTCAGATTTCAAGAAACAAGAAATAAGGTTGTAGATAAGCAACTACCAAAAACCGACTAAAAGCCTAAAAATGTACAGAAAATACCAACGAATAAATAACATAAGTTAATCAGGTCCACTTATATATACAGTTATGCAATATGGTACACTCTAAATAAAACTGTTGATTTTTCACATCATTAAAGCCATATAATTAAATTTAGTGTCTGAATTTGATTACAGTTGTTAATATGAATGTGTTTAGATTGGAAAGCAGTTATAGAGATTTGACCAGCATGGAACGAGGAAATGAGTGAGGAAATAACATTTGTATTTGTTGTCATTCAGAAGAAAGTGCAAATGGGCTTTGGGTAAACAAATAAAAGTTTTGTTTGCTCTTTTTTACAGCGAATGAGTTGTATGGTATGATTGTATGAAAGGTTGTAATATTTTTAGCAGCTGAACCAACTGCAAACTATGGTGTTGGGGAAACAGTGATTTGGGAATGATTGGCTGAGCAGGTTGCGAATTTACTCTGTATCAAATACCAAAGAATTCAAAAATCATAGGATCAGATATATCTGAAAGCTTATACTAAAGTGAAATTGAACTCTAACTCCTTCAAGAAATCAGCTGACAAGAAGAAAATGCATCAAAGTTTTAATTTTTAGTGAAACGTTATCCAGCGTTTTGTGTTATTTTACTCCTAAGCCATCAGTAGTGTTTAATTGAAATACAAGCTTTGCTAAATGGTTCATAAAATCCAGTGAGTGTAAGCACTTTTTAAATTCTTACTTTTCTTATGTTGGATAACGATGTCCCAGATGCTGCGCCTGGAGCACGGATCCACCCCTGTGGTGGGTTCATCCAAAACCACCAAGCGTGAGCCTCCTATGAAGGCGATGGAGACTGACAGTTTGCGCCTCATGCCCCCCGACAAGGTGCCGACCCGCTTGTGTCTGTGAGCGTACATGCCCGTCTCCTCTAAGATCCTGGCAGGGGAGTCAAAGAAAAGCATTTAGCATGGAGCTGGTGTGAACAATTTTTTCTCTGCATTACAACCGCGCCGCTGAGCTGTATTTCGATCAGTTCCATTAGTTGCCCAGCGAGGGTTTTTGAATGCCACATGAGAGGAACAACTTCCCGCCTTCAGGTTCAGGCTTATTACTGCTCCTCCTGTAAAGTGGAAACCCTCCAGGAAGACTCTCATGATGCAATGCAGCTTAAGATGCAACCGAACGAAAAACTGATTTTCCTTTTAAACATATACAAGCAGCTGCAAAGGGTCTAAAACAAGAATAATAGAATTCGCTATGAAAAACGTGAAAATCCACAAGAAAAATCATCATGCAATCATGTCGGTGAAAGTAAAGGATGTATTTTACAGCTGAAGTGAGAGGAATAACATTTTGTTTGACATTCTGACAAATCACCATGGTTATAGAGATGAAATATGGTTCACTAAAACCTCTGAAATATTGATACTTTTTTTGTTTTTTTGTTGAGCACTGACACCTGTAACTAAAGTCACTCATTTTATTCACAGACCATGACAGAAGCTAATCAGTTGAACAAAATCTCTGAAAAGAGCAGACTGTGCAATAATCTTTTATGACAATTGAAGTGTTGCCAGTATGTCATGCATAAACTCTGGCATAATCTTGAAGACATTTTCTTTGATTAAACACATCACTCTCCCTGCTCGGGTTGATTCGTAACTCACATGCGGACTTGTTCATGCAGCTCTCCGCGAGACCAGAGTGGGGCTTTGATTTGGCCGTACAGCAGCAAGTGCTCCTTGGCGGTCATGTGGTCGAAGAGGACGTCATATTGCATGCAGACGCCCAGTTCTTTGCGTACTTTGTCAGGGTTTGCCTGCATATCTTTGCCATACACCTCTATGGATCCGGATGATGGGGCATAAAGACCAGTCAGGAGAGACCTACAGACATGTTTCAATTTGAATATTCATCAAAGATAAAGTCAAGATGTCAGAAAAAGGCATTTTCATTGACTTCTTCTTTCTTCTACTTTTCTCAAATGATCACTCATTCCAACCCAGCAATTCAATTTAGTTTAAAAAAAGTTTTTTTTTTGTATTACTTATATCTGAGTTTGCTGCTGCTCTCATTACATGTTCCCCTGGTTAAGCGCGTCAGCAAAATGAGTCACATTTAAAATGTAAATGTAAGTGCTCCTGTTGATGAAGACCCATCAGACTAATCTCCATCACGGTGCATTTTCTGTGCCAAATTTGAACAAAACAATCTCCCTGTCAGCACCAGACTGCTGAAATGATTAAAGGGATGCACAAATCTAATCTTTAAAAAGCTTGCATATAGCATTCAAGGGTTGTGGCGTGTTTATCTTGGGATTGAGACTTGCTAATATTTCTTAAAAGATAAAAGAAAATGTTGCAGAACGTACATGGTGGTGGTCTTGCCGGCTCCGTTGTGGCCAAGCAGTGAGGTGACATGGCCCTCGTAGAAGGACATGTTCAGGTTTTGAATGGCTGCTTTTTCACCGTACATCTTAGTGAGACCATGGAGTGCAACACCCACAGGAAGTCTTGAAAAATCTTCACCCTGGTAGGACAGTGTGCCCTTGTCTAATAAAAACAATGAGATGGAGGATAATTATAAACCTAACTAAATAAGACAAAAAAAAACCACGAAATACAAACACAGAGATGCCACAAGAGAGTTACAAACCACTTATTCTTGTATATATTGTGTACCTTTTCCTTTGCCTTCAGAGAAGACAGGCTGGTTGTTCTGCATGATGTTGGAAAAGAAGAGTCCTTTGCCTCCGTTTTGCTCTGAACCACTGCTACTGCAGAGGTCGGTCCAGAAGGAGAGCTTGAAGGGGAAATACCACGGTGCAGGGATGCCATATTTTCCTGATGGGTTTAAAAAAGTTATAAAATTTCACATTAACATTATGCAAAAACCCTATTTGGTCATGACCAAGCAAACCTAAACAAGGCATATGCTTTCAACTGAATATGGCACATTATATGCCCAAAAACAAATTATTATGCAGCAATCTATAGCAATCGCTCAGACAAGCAAAGACCTGCATAACCTTTGACCTCGACCTTAGAGCTGGGGTGATGAAAAGATTATGTGACACTACGTCTAGTGACGATAACGTTTCATTAAATTATCTTGAGATCAAAAGTTATGAACGGGACAAGAGAAAATTTATGGATGGAGACTATACAATAATATGTCCAGCTTTCGACAGGCGTATAAAATTTTAAACATTTAGAAGCAATGCAACGAGAAAAAAGAACCACGGACTAATTCCATGAACATGGCAATTGATGGTTTACCTGGGAAAACCATGCGGATGTAAGCCCCAATGATGAAGTACAGGATGGAATCGATGAGTGTGAGCCAGCACAGCCAGCCAAAGGAGGCAGTGTCACCAGCGATGGGAGAGATGTACGAGTTGCTCCAATGAATTCCTAAGAATTAAAAAAGGAGAACGTTTCATTTAGCCACATTACGCAGCAGAGAGCTCCTTGTGGTATTCAGATGACCGCATGCTCGTACCTTCTCCCTGAGTCTCATAGCGAGTAACATACTGGCAGGCGTAGCTGAAACAGGTTGGTGAAAACAGACCCTGCGGGAAAAAAATCAGGAACATTTTAGACTAGACTTAACACTAAATGCAACAAACGCTATGAGAGTATGTTCCGTATACAAGTTGGCCACAAGAAGAAGTGTCAAGCTTGCCTTTTTATTTTGTGTCACTTCAGAGCAATTTTCCAGCGCAAATTACATTATTTGGTATTTAATTGATTCTGCAGAGTGCATGCTTGTTTAATATACATGACTAATGGTGAAGCAGGCTCAGAGCACACTCACCAGAAGGCTCTTCAGGGAAAAGGTTAAATTGCTTTCCAGAGCCATAACAATGATGAAGGGGAAGAAGCAGAGGACGTAGAGGAGGCTTCCACTCAAACCAGCGATGTAGGTCTTATCAAAGAAGGAGCTGACCAGGTAACTGAAGGCCAGGATGCTCAGACCGTAGTTGCAAAGGAACAGGAAGAGAAGGAAGCCGTCGCTTTTTGGAAGGATGTTCCCATATTTGAGAACCATTGTGAGGATGAAGATGCTCACTAACAGATAGGCAGCACACTCCAGGAACCAGGCGAAGAAATGACTGAGAGGGCTGACTCCCATCATTTTCATGTACTAAAAGGGGAAAGAAGGGGATAAATTAAACAGACAACACTTGAGCTATTTAGCCAGAAGTGTCTGCAAATGTGTACAGCACTGAGAAGAATAAGAGAAGTTAACATTTTTGGCTTTTACGTATCCAGAGTCAAAGATTCTACATATCACATCATCAACAGTTTAATACAAAACCATTTATATTCATCAGTCACTGTATTACATTTAAAAACTAAAATGTAAAAAAAAAAGACAATGCAAATGTCAAAATGTAATGGCACTTGTTTTCAAGTTGAGAAAACATTACCTCATGCAGCCTCAGCTCTCGCTCATGAACCAGTTTTTTTACAAAATCTGCCACGAACAACACCCATGGTATCATCAACATGAGAGGGAAGACAAAAGACATGGCCTGCAGGAACCTGAGGAATGCAGAAATGCCAGATGTCAATCAAACTCCTTGCCGCATATTAATTATTGTATTATTTACAAAAATAAACCCATGTGGATTTATTTTTTGTACTTCTACAAATGATACCAGCAACCTAGCGCTTGATGCGTGTATTGATTTTTTCACAAAGATTGTGACAGAATTTGTTCTGTTTATTAATAAATTGGAATAAAGCAAAGACCAGCTAGAGACAAAGGCCCTGTTTGTGATTCAAAGATGAAAAAGCAGCACTTGGTGGCATGCAAGCACAAACATCAAGTTCAAGAATGATTTATTTAAAACAATGTTGCATGTCAATGAAAATGTTAATGTCAAACTCATGTTAGATTGGAAATAGAAGAGTGATGTACTTCCCTGATGTTTTTTTTTTATCCTGAGAGATATTTGAGTGTGTAATCAGTTTGTGTATGGTTTTCAAAAATGAATGCGCAATTAAAGTGAAAATTCATGCACATAGTGCATAGCTAATTACAATGTGACAGGTTCTTGTGAATGACTACTTATTGCCATTCCCAAGTGACAAATGAATAATGAAGGAGCCTACATTATTCCACATCAATGCCAGTTTCCCTTCAGAGACAACGTGTATCCTTTCATGTTTCTTTGCATGCATGCATTCACGGATTGACTGTGTGTGTGCATCCTTGAATTTGAGAAACTCACTCGTCTCGCAGAAAGCACGGATAAGCAAAGGGCTGCATCTGCACAGCCACGTCTGTGACTTTCTGCCCGATCTGGGTTTCAATGATCGCCCGATCGATGTTCTCCTGCAGGTAGATGAATCCCCGGTTGTAGCGCATCGTCTGACTGGCCGAGATGTGTGTATCCTTTATGAAGTAAGAGCTTCGCACTCTGTCTGTTCTCATGACGTTGTCCATGTGCATGCGGATGGTGTAGCTGACTTTGGGAGGCAGAGATGCTGAGGAGGATGGAGAGGACCGGGCCTCACGCCTCCTTGATGAATCTTCAGAAAGCTTGAAAATGACACCTTAAGAACACAATAAATACAGATTTTATTCATAACCCTTTATATCTGTTGCTCTTGACACAGTATTTATACAGTTTATCTGTGGTCACTGTAATTTACAAGGTGGATTAAGATAACACACAGTTGATACAGCTGTTGGTCCAGACATTATCTGTGGGATTGATGGAGTTTGCCTCGTATTTACTCACTCGCATAGAGTTCACGGTTTTTGGCAAGCTCCTGAGCCGCACGGTCGATCTCCTCGATGGAGTTGTAGCCACGGTAACGGTCGAACTTGATACAAGAGGAGAACTTCATCATCATTGTGGACAGGGCGCTGATCTGATCAAGAATCTGTTTGTTCTGTTCCAGCATCAGTGTCACGTTAGCTGTGAAAGGAAACGCGTTTACAAAGTCAGCTAACGGGGAAAAAACTACCGTACCCACTGCTGTACAAAGATGACACTCTCAGTCGAGCCAAAGGATTTGAAAGTATTTTTTCAAGTGAATAATAGTAAAAATAACTGGAAAACATTAGATTATTGTTCATGAATCAGTTGTCTTAACTTTGAAACAAACAAATAAAGCTTCAAAATGACATTCTAATAAACTTTGTAAAATCTGAATGTTTAAATAATTGTACTTTTTTCACATTTTTTATATAAGGATAAAGAACTTTATGAATGCTACGATTGTTTTTCCCCCATTAAACAAATTGTATCTTCCATAACATTCCAGCAGGGTATTTTTGTTGATCTGTACCCTGAAATGATCTAAGTATTACATCAGTAATGACAGCAGGCCTCTGAATCCAGTACAGATTCAGGTGTAGGCCCAGTTCTGTGTTCAAAGAAGAGTCCCTCTGATTTAAATCTAACCAGAACCTTTTTAAAACTACTTCAGTAATAACTTGGTGAGGGTGCTCACACCTTAGTAGTTGAGCTGGTTTATTCAAGCCGCATAGGACTAAAATATTTTTTTCTCGCATTTTTTCCCCATTTTCACCATATATAATGAAACTGCTGTATAATTATGCCCACCCTGATATTAGATGTAAATCACTGCCGCCACATCATCCCACATACTATAAAAATATGTCATCTGAAAATGATTGAATCTAATAGGCACTTGTGTTTATGCTGGCTAGGGTTGGAAAATGTGCAGAGAAATGTAAAAAAAAAAAAAAACTGTTTAATTAGTGTAGACATTTATTGACCTCAGTGTGCTTCTTTTGATGTAAAATATAAAGAGAAATGTGTTTAATTGTCATTCTTTTATGTGTTAAATGGGATGGATGTAAGGTCTAAAAAAGTTTCACGTTCAAAAATCTGTGTGCCAAAGTTGAACCGTGTGTGAGAAAACAATAATCAAGTCTGCTCTTACAAAAGAAAAAGCCCCAGAAAATATCAAGTACCATGTGTTTTGCAATCAAAGTCTAAAAAGCTGTCCTATTTTCAGACATTAAAGACATTTTAGAATCAAAAAGAGTAAATATAAATATGGTATGTGCTGCTTACAAAAGTAAGTCTTAAATTTTTACTCACAGAAACTGTTAAACATCTTCTTTATATTGTCCACATTTATGTTTGTCTGCATCTCAATGAAATTCTTCACAAAGGCGTTGTTGAGAGAGTTCTGGCAGAAGGATGGAGAAAAGATAGAGAGAGGAGAGAAAACTATGAGCATCATCAAGATTCAGCTGCCGAATCTCGTCGAAAACCACTGCAAGGTTTATCTTGAGATTTTCAGATGACAGCGGGGCATAATCAGATATAAAGAAGAGCACGTCTGAGTCTTCATACCTGCAGCATTGGCAAAGTGTTGCTGAGTATTTCGGCTGACTTCATGATGTAATTTGAAGATTTGATCCAGTCCTCAGAATATTTCTTCAGATCTGCAAACTCTTGCAAAGTGGCATTGGCCTGGGCAAAGTCAAGACAAGGACGCAAAAGTGTGAAAATGGTTTTGTGTCAGAAAAAGAAAAAAAAAAAATCACGCCTTCATTTTTTTTTTTTTTTTTTTTTTGTGCATCGTGGTTTGAGTCTTTGAAGACTGCACCGAACTGAAAACAGTCTCGCTCAAAATAGAACCAGAAACATGTGGTGCATACAAACGCATGCACACCTCGTGCAACTTGGAAGTTCTTGTGTTGCCAACGGGGTGTGTAAGGACAAAAAAGTTAATATGACCTAAACATTCTAATAGGAGCCGTAGAAAAAAGACGATGAAGGATATTTAACAATTAGAACAATGACTTTGGAGGAGCTAGGGAATCACTGAGCCCTAGTTAAGATATTTAAGCTGAAATGGCAATGAAAAGCAGGGATGCCTACACAAAATGTAAAAATCAGCTGTTTTGTTGCAAACTGCAGGCAGGTAAGTAAATAATTTAACCACCCCAGTCAACAAACCAACACATTATTGTCAGTCAGCAGCAAGAAGAAGAAGAAATGCTATTTTAGTCTACTATTAAATCATTAAATAAGGGTGATCAATGGGAATGTTCATGGAGCGAAGTCTAGAGGAGGTAATGTGTTTGTTCGTGTTGTGCGAGTTTGAAACCTTCTGCATGATGTCCCTGGTGACGGGCGTGTCAGGTGTGAAGAGGATCTGTCCCATCAGCATGGGTTTGAGGAAGGCCCAGGCGATGGCTCCTCCTGTGGTGTTGACCATGTCCAGGTACATGTTCATACAGAAGGGGGCTGCACAAGGACACATACAAACGTGTTAGAAGTTTTCACGAAGGAAAGTTGTTCAGAGAAAAGTTGCTGTCTTAAAGTAGATATTTTTTAATCACATCTACAAGCGGTGACAATAAAAATTACTGAAAAAAGTCTCCAAAATAAATATGTATGAAACACATTTTTTTTGCACAGATTACAGTTTTAGCTTCCAG